TACCTCACCGACGAACCGGATGAGTCCACTTGCATACTTAAAGTATTTTTAAATCTCTTTAAACATTCAAAAACATCAATAACATATACTCAACATATCACTGAAATTATTAATATGAATTTCACAGAAACCATTAATAACAACCACTTTCAATAACATCTCAAAAATAACCAGTCCAATATTTTGGGCTCAAATTTAGAAAGGTAGCAGTAAGATTCTTATAGAAATTCAAAAATACGGAATTATCACAATTTATGGGATACTAATTCATAAATAAACATTTCAAAGACAATGCTATAATCAATTGTAAAAATGTCAGTTTTCAAATAATAAGGCAGTCATTTGCACATAAAATTTACAATGTCTAAATATTCAAAAACAGTAGAGAGAAATCTCAAAATTTTACTAAAAGCAGAAATATCACATTTATTTCTAATAATTTTACAGTATCTAAATTTCTCTAATAATAGAAAAAAAAATAAATAAATTTATTTCTAAGAATTTACAGCACTTAAAATTTCTAACATAGATAAAATATCACAATTTTATTAAAAATATTATTTTTCAAAATAATGAGGTTGCTTGCGCATAAAATTTATCACGTCTAAAATTCATGATTATAACCAGAAGTAATTATTTCATTTCATTTTTAGAAAGAATGGATTATTTTTCAATATAATGAAGTCACTTACCTAAAATATTTGAGAGGGAGCTTCCGATAAAATTCGGCTAGAGAGAGAAAGAGCTCCCTGCATTTCGACTAGAGAGAGAAAGATCTCAAAAATTTTATAAAGTGGGAGTCCTCGTATCTCCTATTTAAATTTTTAAGATACCTTATTATATTATCTTATTAAGTTACACCTCATACATGAGATGTAACAATTATGTTACACCTGAACGTTTAAAGCCCACGTCCACTAAAGGACGGACGTGGCAAGGCAGCAAAAACTTAAACCAAAAGCTTTTGAAAACAGTGATGGTCCCTAAGAACCATCATGCTCATATGGACCATCACTTACTAAAAAGTTTTTTTTTTTTNTTTTTTTTTACTAAAAAAATTTAAGGTATTATTACTATTCTTCTCCCTTG